TTCCGGGCGTTCTACCTGGAGGGGCTGTTCACCGACATCACGCTGCAGAGCGCGTCGGGGGTCATCTTCCACTGCCACAGAGCCGCCCTCGCCGCCTGCAGCACTTACTTCAAAGCCATGTTCACGGCCGATATGAAAGAGAAATCTAAGAACCAGATCAGGCTCCCCGGGCTCAGACATGCCGTGCTGGAAGCCCTCGTCAATTACGCGTACACATCACAGATCCAGATAACAAAGAGAAATGTCCAAAGCCTGCTCCAGGCTGCCGACCTCCTGCAGTTCGTGTCAGTGAAGAAAGCCTGTGAGCAGTTTCTGCTGAGGCACCTGGATACCGACAACTGCATAGGGATGCACTCCTTCGCCGAATACCACGATTGCTCCGAGCTAGAGAAAGAGTCCAGGAGGATATTGTTATGGCAGTTTGAAGATGTGTGGAAGCAGGAAGAGTTTCTGGACATTGGCAAGGAGAAGCTCTCTTTTATCCTCTCCAGGGAGAATCTCAATGTTTGGAAAGAAGAGGCAGCCATTGAAGCTGTCGTTAAGTGGGTCGCACACAACGTGGAAGAAAGAATTGAAGATGTCTATGAACTGCTGAGCTGCATCAAAGTGGACTTGGATAACATGTATTTGAGGTCAGCTTTAAGCCTACAGAAAAAATGCCGACTTAATGACAATAAGATAAGATCACTCATATACAATGCCCTGAACCCCAATCCCAAAGGCCCTTCCAGAAGACCCACAGCAGCCATGTACGTGATCGGAGGATATTACTGGCATCCCTTATCAGAAGTGCATGTTTGGGATCCTTTAACCAATGCATGGGTCCAGGGGACAGATATGCCAGATCACACCAGAGAGAGCTATGGGGTCACCAGCTTGGGACCAGACATATATGTGACGGGAGGTTATAGAACAGAGAGCATCGAGGCCCTTGACACTGTGTGGATATATAACAGTGAGAGAGACGAATGGACAGAAGGCTGCCCCATGCTCGATGCGAGGTATTACCACTGCACAGTTTCCTTGAGTGGATGCATCTACGCGTTGGGTGGTTACCAAAAGGGAGCTCCTGTGCAAGAAGCTGAGTTCTATGATCCTTTAAAAAAGAAATGGCTTCCTATTGCAAATATGATCAAAGGTAGGTAAGCTCTTGTGTGCTGTCTGGCTCAAATGTTGATCCTTTTGCATTTGCCACTTTGAAGTGCCATGGGCGCATTTAGGATTTGATCCAAATTCTAGGGAAGTTCATGGGAATCTCCTGTTAATGTTGGTGGGCTTTGGTTCAGGTCTTTATTAGCCAAACAACTGCAAACATCCAAACACTATGCTGGGCTGTGCCACGGAACGCTAGGGTGGAAGAGCAAGTGGTAGTCTCAGTTTAATTTTTCCTTCTTTCAGGAATAAAATTTCTGTTCAAATTAGAAAACTACCTGGGATTAGAGTCTATTCAGTAAATGGTCAAAAAGCAAGCTCCAATAAAGGGATTGTATTATTTTAATGTAAAACCAGATTACTAAGATTTTCTGTGCAGTCATTTAAAAGGTGACATCTTCATTTAAAACTTCTTGCATGCATATTTGGATGATGCACGTATTTCAGTGCATCATCCGTTCAGGATCCTTAGTTTAGTCTTTAGTGTGAGGACAGTGATAAGCACTAACTAATACCTGTTTCTTGCAGTGAAAATAGCAATCTGTTAAAAATGTATGAATTTGCATCACAGCCTAACTAAAAAATAAAATTTACAAACAGTTATACATTTTATCATACATTTTTATAAATTAATGCAATTATTTACAATTAATTATAAAATTTTACTGTAAGTTAATGCAACGGAGTATTTTTCTACATATGTGAGAGGTTTTGGAGGTGTCTGTAACAGTAAAAGACACCTGCCACGCTCCTGCAACTTTCTTAATTGTTCACGTGTTTTCCATAAACATTGCTATTATTCTCTTTTTATTTCCTTTAAAACCAGAAATGCTTTGCTAATATTGTGAGCAGTTAAGACATTCTGTGCAGTTGTTTTGTCCCGTTTTCTGTGTGAAACTTCTTAGATGCTTAAAAAAACACACTGATTTCCTAATTTTGGTGCATTTTATCTTGCCAGATCCCTTGTTTTATTTTGTTTTGTTCTCCTAGAGACAGAGTTAACATGGCTCCATTCTGTTTGTGTCCTTGTTTATACAATAGCATAACTAATAATACCATGAGAAAGACTAAAGTATCAGAAAAAATACCATGAGATGCTGAATGATCTCAACTCCCATTGTTTTTGTCCTTGCCATATGACTGACTATTAAAAATCTCTTTAACTCAGTGAAACATTGGAAGTAATTCCCTGTTCCAAAACCAGTGTGTCAATGTATCTTTAATTACTGCATAAAAATTCTGTGAAATATTACGTGGCTGTATTATATGCAATATGTATAGATTACTGCAGTTTTATTTAATTGCTCTTTATTTACACAGATAAAATAAGGCGTCTTAACAAGTTTATTTAATTTCACATTCAGGTAAATACTTGCAAGCATCATTTCACCCTAAAATATTAATTAACCAGTCATTTGAAATGACATTATGGATGGAAGTGACTGTGGTTGTTGTGTACGGTCTGAAGGTGTGTTGTGATTTTCACACTGTGTGCAGGTGTTGGAAATGCCACCGCCTGTGTCCTGCATGAAGTCATCTACGTAACCGGAGGTCACTATGGGTACAGGGGAAGCTGCACCTATGATAAAATCCAGAGATACCATTCAGGCAGCAATGAGTGGAGTATAGTCACCACAAGTCCACATCCAGGTAAACCATAATTTCTGTAATGAGCGTAGAGCTTGATTTGATTACCTGTGTCTGGGAGCCTTTAAGCCTGTGTAAGAGTTTCTGGCATGTTTCTAATAAAAGGAGAGATGCCCTTAGGGCACCAAGGGCCAGAGTGGGATCGTCTCCCATTTCCAGACTGAGAGGGGAAGGAAGACCCTCTTCAAGCATCTGTTCTATTGAAATCACTATACAAATACTGAACTAAGGAATGGCTGCATTCTATTAAATAATACAGTAAACTAACTTTCTATAAAATCTGTTTATTCATAGGCATTTGGCAAAAATAATTTATATTAATTTTAAAAGGATTTTCTCTACATTCTACATTTGGTAACAGTAAGTTTTAAAAGCAGTTCTCATGAAGTACTGGTGCTCATGTGTGTATCTTCTGTGACACCTTGAGATTGCTTTTCTCAAGCATAGCAGAAAATCCCGAGGTGTCTCCTAAGCTCAGTGAAGCAACTCAGCCACCTTTGGTGGTGCTGAGTGTTTGTCATGTAGTTGCAGTTTAAGTTAATGTTATCATGCTGAGTTGAACTGTATTCCTTTCTTCCCGAAGAATACGGATTGTGTTCAATTACGTTACAAAACAAGATCTATTTTGTGGGTGGGCAGACCACGATCACAGACTGCTACGACCCAGAGCAAAACGAGTGGAAGCAGATGGCTCACATGATGGAGAGAAGGATGGAGTGTGGTGCGGTGGTTATGGACGGATGCATCTATGTAACAGGAGGATATTCCTATTCAAAAGGAACGTACCTGCAGAGTATTGAGAAATACAACCCTGAACTGAATAAATGGGAAGCAGTAGGTAATCTTCCCAGCCCTATGCGGTCACATGGCTGTGTCTGTGTTTATAACGTGTAAACATTTAATTTTCATATTGTTGTTATAGCAAACAGCAGAGGCAGTGTTCTGATTAGTACTGATAGTACTGATTACCTCAGGAATGGGATGTCTAATACAATCTCTTAGTGCACATCATTAAAAACTAGGTATAATTTGTCTTTATTTAAAAAAATTCAGAAGTATAAATGTGGTAACAAGATTACTATTATTTTTCAGTCCAATCATTCTTTGTCATGAAAGTTTTCAAATGACTCTCTCATAACACTTTGTGCAGCTATGTAGGAACTACTGTGAAAAACAGATTTATTTTCATTAATCACTGGGTAGAACAATGATCTGGTGCTAAAGGTGAGTAAAGCCAAACAAAATACTCTTCATTTCTGTGGACTACTGGGCTTAAGATGAAATCTTTAATACTCTGAAGGAAGTTATAGAAATGGTTCATTGCCACAAGCTAAGTGTATGGTACGTATAGAGCATACATATACATTATTTGGATAACTAGGTGATCACATTTAGAAGTCATGGGCAGTTATAGGATGCCTCTAATTCTGGGAGAAGAGGATGGGCTGGGAATGAGGGAAGAAATGTCATGCAGTAGCCCCAGAGCACAAGCAGAAAGTGTGCACTAGTTTTCCAGTAGGAGAACAGTGCTCTGCAGTACAAGGCAGTTTGAGAAAAGTGCTCACTTGGCCATTCTCACACTGGCAGGGCTTGTGAGGAACAAAGAAAGACTCTGCCTGGCTTTGTAATGGACTCTTTGACTGGTGCACAGATATTAGTGATTTTTTTCCCCCCAGAGAAAAGCATTACTGTGGTAACTGGGTTTTTTAAATTAAATTTAAGATGTGTGTCTTTGTGTAATGGAAGGAGGAAATTAGAGAGAATGTAAAGTTGCTAACATCCCCCTGAGATACAAACTTCTCTATTTTGTTTAATACCATTCAGTCTTTTCTAAAAGTGCTAAACTGTGACTTGAGCAAAGGTGAAGAAACTTGTCAAAATATGTTATGCATGGAGAAATTGAATGCCAAATGGTCCACTGGATTTATTTATTATTTCTCTCAAAACATAGTAAGAGATCTTCAAATTCTGTCTAGAAAGCAACTTGAGATGGACAGGAAGATCATCATTTTGACACCTCTTCACTGGGAGACTCGTGCATGAGACTGGCAGGAAGCACAATCCAGAGCTAGTATTTAAATAGCTGGTGTTTCGACCCTGCCACCCCCAGCCTTCTCGCCAGTCCTTGTTCTGCATCCTGCCATGCAGGTAGTAATACAAATGCATTTGATTGAATCGTTATTGCAGTGACTTCTTAGGATTTCTTTTCTCCTCATAGCTCGTATAGTTAGTGTAATGTGGGGCTTGTTGTTAGCCTGGTTCCCTGAGGGAGCCGGCTGCAACTCTTGTCTTTCAGTGCGTGTGTTGGCTCCCCTGTAACACTGGACTCACTTGTCTGGGTTCAGCTGTGTTCTACAGGGGGGTATAGACCTTAAAAATATGCTTTTATTTTTCAGGTTTTATGAAAAATGATAACAGGATAGAGAGGGGAGAGAGAGACTGAAAGGAAGCATGTTATTCGTGTGGAAAGTACAAGGTGTTAAAGCCTTCCCAGTGCTGAGGAGGTGGCTGTGAGGAGCGTTCCTGCTCCTGCCTTTGCTGCCCCTCACACTGTCCCACTTCAGCTGCTGTGGGGATGTGTGGTCTGGCAGCAATGATCCAAATAAAGAAATGCCTTGAGGAGCAGAGAGGCGCTTTTAGCCCAGATCAGTTCCCCAATCCAGCTTATAAAATGACCGCAGAAAGAGCTGTTAGTTGTTGGCATGAGAGCCAGGGTCAACACAGGGCTGCCCTAGGGCTTGGTGGGAGCTTCCTACACCAGCACTGCCATCTCAAATGAAATTTTGGTTTTACTGGATTTGTCAGATAGGATGAAAAGAGCTTTCCAAGCAGATGAGCCCCGAGTTTATGATATTTCTTTTTCTTGATCATAAGCATTTTAATTTTTTTTTTTGTTCTTTCACATTTTCATGCTATTTCTCACTTGCATGTGACTGCTGGTAGCAGGCAGCACGCATGAGCCTTGATGTGAAGTTTTGTGGTGTATATATATATATAGTTCTTGTTTTGATGTCTGTGTGTGTCACCTTACTATGTCAGAAGCTCATGTTTTCCTGGGTTCAGTGTTTTGCTTCAGTATCCATCCCACTGAGAGCTATTTAAGGATCCAATGTAATTTGTTTAAAGACTCTAAACTGTAAAGAGGTGTGGGGAATTGATCTCTGACGCTGTTTAAAATGTGTGGGCTGGGCAGGTGGGCAAAAGAAATAAAGTGAATTTGTTTCTCCTGGAAATCTCCACAGCTGAGAATTGTTCAAAGGCAGGTGGAGATTTAAAGGACGACATCGCAGGAGCATGAAGGTGATCTTTGCATTGAGCAAAACCACAGTGAACTCAATGTGGGTATGTAATTGGTCAGTGCAAAATATGTACCCATGAAGCTTCATGTTTGTCGAACATGAGTGTAGAACAGCTGGTTGTGGCTGGCCCTAAGGTTCATTCTGCCCTGAGTCCCGTCACCAGCAGTCGTAAGTTGGTGAAAGGATGTAAGAACAAGGCGAGGACTAACAAAACCTCCCGGCATCCACCTGTCCCGTTTCTAAACTAGGTGCCTAATGTTGGTGAAAGTGCTGTTCCAGGGTTGGAGCCACAGGCACTGGAAGCCAGAGTCCACCTTCTCCCTCTGGGCACCCTGCAGGTGAGAAATACGCTGCTTCTCAGTCTCAGTGTGACTTCGAAGTGAAAAGAAGCCTTTAGTTCTCACATGCTAGGAGAGTACGTGCTGATCTGGCATAAAGGGAAGTCAGTGAGATTACTGCCTAGGGCTTCAGGTACTGCCTAATTTTTTAGAGATTTTTGAATGTGTTAGAATAAATGGAGAGTAGAACTTAAGACTTGTGGCTAAATTTTAACTGGTGCTATTTTTTACAATAACCTACAATGCCTTTTAAAATAAGCTCATGTCTGTAGCACATCCCAAGAAAGCGTGTAGCAGTCAGGTCTTGAGTGCAGGCAGGAACAGGAGTTCAGTGAGAGGAGCTGGGATTCCAGGTCAGTAACTTGTGCCTCCTGCGGGAGGTGGAAAGCTCAGAGCGGGGGGATGTTTTAGCCCTCTGTTTGATATGTTTGTAATAGTAAGAGTTGGATGTGGACACAAAATTACTGTGCTATTGGGTCTGTATTATGGTAGACACTGCTTTACTGTTTCACTTGTAAACTAGAAAATGAATGCAGAAGTTGAATCACTTGTTAAGTCTATTTATTAAAGTTTGTACCTGTGGGATCCCCAGGGTTGTAGCTGTAGGTGTCTACAACACATCTACAGTACTCAAGTGCATGTTTGTAAAATTTAGTAAAGGTAAATACAGCACCAGTGTACAAATACAAGCTTTTAAGTTACTTTTTCTGTTACCCGCGTAAAAGCGCGTCAATAAAAGCCCCGCACGCCCGGGACGACATCAGTGGCAGACGCTGTGGCCTAACGGGGTGGGTAAGGCCACGGCCGCTCCAGCCCTTC